CAGTTTTATCACAGCCAGAAAAATTAACTCTAGAACATAGTGTATATGTAAGGCTGCGAATTTCAATTATTTTCATTATCGACTATTCTGTTGATTATATTGTTGATCACACTATAATCCATTTAATGAACAAAATGTCAAAAAAAACTATAGAAAAACTAAAATTACTGAAACAGTTAATTGATTATCAAGACAGCTGCAAATTGATTTTAAGGTCAACTGACTAATCAGTTAATTGACTAATAGTTTCTTCTCTAAAAATATGGTCAGAAACCAAAGGGTAATGTTAACAAGTCAAAGAGGTAAATATGAAAGGTGTAGAAGCATCATAGTCTTTTTTAGGCTACAAAGTAATACGAGAAGTGGCTCAACACAACCCATATAACAGTATAATGCAAAGATATGATATGCTCAATTGAAAAGCAACACAATGAGGGTTTTTGCAAAATCAGACTGCCATGTTCTGGTACTAATTATTGTCCTTTAAACAGTAGGGCACATTAGACACATTATATTGGCATTACAGTAATTGTGTGTGAGGTGTTTTAAATAGCATACTGCATGCATTCTAATTATCAGCGTACTGCAAAAAGAAATGAAGTACAGAATACTAACTAAGTCAATCCTTGTTTTGAGACAGCGCAGCAAAAATTTGTGAATTCGCTGTAGTGGGCCAATTTAGAGAGACACCTGGGGCTCTGGCCATTACAGCCTCTTTCATCATATTCAGGCTTTGACAGTGTATGATGACGTGTACATGTTTGAAAGTCAGACCGAGAGAGAGAGAGAGAGAGAGAGTAAGGTCTGACAAAGACACAGAAAACCCCATGCATCTATCATCTATACTGCTTATCCTGAAGAGGGTCACAGGGGGGCTGGAGCCAAACCCAGGCTAACACTGGGTGAAAGATGGGGGAGAACATGAAAACTCCACACAGAAAGGCATCGGGTCGGCCAGGGCTCAAACCCAGAACCTTCTTGCTGTGAGGCAACAGAGCTAACCACTGTGCTACCATGCAGCCCACCAGAAACCTCTGCTGGGGTATACATGTGGCAAAGACAACATCAGAAACAAACGGTTGAGAAAGTGCTTGTATGTGTATATGCTCACTGAGTGCATCTGTAGTTTGCTTTAAAAATGGAAAACTTGCCCATCAGGTCATTTGTAGGCAGAATAACATGCATACTGATGACCCAATCACAAGGCATCTTGACAGCGAGAAGACAGCTGATAAGTGAGGGCTGCCAAGAACAGACACGTTACACGGCTGCACTCACACACACAAAGAAAGAAAACAAAGAAGCAAAGTAAAACTGAGAAAAAAAGAAGGCAAGAAGGAACGAGCATCAAGGTGAAAAACTGATGGAGAGAGTGAGCCAGACACACGGACAGATGGAAAGAGAGAAAGGGGGCCCTATCATTCAGTCTCACACCCTGCAGAATGAACGGGGGCCTCTGTGCGCCTTCCCTGTTCAAACACACCTCACAGCTGTCTGCTCCCTGCAACAACAATGCACAGATACCCACGCACATCTACACACACACACTGCAGCCTGCCTGAGAGTGGGCACAATAACCCTATTGAGGGGCTGAAAGAGAAAGTGAGGAGAATCAGATTGAGAAGAACAACACAAAACAACACAAAGCCTCCCTGAACATCCATCTATCCATCCATTATCTATGGATGGGGTCACTGGAGCCTATTCCGGCTGACATCGGGCGAGAGGTGGGGTTCACCCTGGACACCCTCTTGTCGTGAGGCGACAGCGCTACCCACCGCTCCGCTGTCCCGCCCGCCTCCCTGAACATCACCACACATAAATACACTACAATGTGGTTATCTTGCCAACTTGACAGCCTGGGATGAATCTACTCTCTGCTGTCCTTAATTCATCATTCATCTGTCCAATCTGGTCAGACTCCATACAAACACACCAACAAACACACACATGCCTGCACACACATGCACACATTTGTTTGGTCAAGGGCGGACCAGTGGTATTGTTTCACAGTGAAAGCAGGGTGCTGATAATGAATCACCATATTCTTTATCTGATTACTTACAGACACAAACACACATACCATCACACAAGCATGTACCGTATACACATGCATACTTTGTCCATTCTTTCCCATCAGCTGTTGTGCATGACCTTGACCACACACAGACTAAGAGATTGGTGCTGTAAGGTAAGAAAGTCCCAACACCACACAAACATGCACATTTATAGTCTGGCCAACATAATTACATCCAATCTGAAGAGCACTTTGGGGCTAACTGAGATATCACAGGGTATTTCTGGGTATTTGACATGCTCACAGCTTCACAAGGTTGACAGCTTGCCTTCCTGAACTGCTATTTTTGTCCGTGTTTGTGCACAGTGTGTACAGATTGTGGAAAGTCCTCTTCATTTTGCCTTTCATAGAGATAAGAGAAGCAGACGGGCTGTCTTGATGTTGAGACACATTAATAATACCAGTGCTAAACAAGCACATAGAGTGGTCTGCAGTACTTGGCCCAAAACACAACCCATAAACGTCCAAGTCACTTTTTCCATACTCAGCAACTCCTGATGTTGTGTAGAAGAGCTACGGAGGGAGGGAGGAGAGTAATTGAGGAGGGACATAGGGATGAAGTGAGAAGAGGGAACAGGTAAGGGGGAGAGGGATAGAATATAAACCACCTTAACAGCCCAAGAGCCTTAAGCAATTAGCAATGACATCATGTTCCTAGACACACTGCAGACTGGGGCCAGGTCTGGATGAAGACCAAGCTAGTAAGGCAAGGAGGCTAGGAGGATAGAGAGGGAGAGAGGCTGTGAAAGAGAAGCAGAGACGATGACAGTGCACCATTTCTGCGATGGTGGTACAGAGACATATTCAGTTTTTCAGCTTGCACTAGTTAACTCACCAAGCATAAACCTTATAAAATCACCTTAACCACTGCTTAAACTAGTGAGTGCTCACTGTTCAGCATTAAATTGTGTACATTAAATAATAAAACAGAAGACTTCCAGACTCAAACCATAGCATTATCCAAAGTTCAATGTATTTATTATGCTTTTTGACAAATTTGTTTATTAAACACACCTTCTGAATATACACACATGCATCAATGCAAATATGATGCAAAGCAAAAGCATGACAGTCAGTGTCACCAAGAGAGAAACCCTCAGAGGTGCGCATCAAAACCTGGAAACAGTCCTCTGATAATTCATGTTATCATCAACAACTGCAGTGCCCCTTCTCTCTCCACAGAAACACACACAGTATTCTGTATGAAGTGTTTCACAAGTTCTTAGACTTTTACACAACAGCAATTCAAGTCCAGTGTGAAAGTTAATTACCTGAAGTGAACTGTTTCCAGAAGAAAAGTCAACAATAATTCGCCATCTTTACACACAGCCATAACATATCTCAGCCCTGTGTGCTCCCTACCTCCAGGACAATTAAACAGGAAAGTTATTTGCATCATTCTCTGAGATTCTATATAACACAAACCATAAACAAGCAATTAATTGTCTCCGTATTTGTATAAAACAAACAGGCGTATTATCTCAAGGGCCTGGCAGAAACTAATGGAGCAAAGCTGGAAACGATTAGCTAGCAGTGCTCAGCCAGCAGCATGCACCAATACAAGCCTCAGCCTCAGCCCCAGCCCCAGAGGCTTGCATGGCTATAGCCCCAGACTATTCCACATAATGTCAATGAATACATGTTTGTGTGACCATGAGCCTCTATGACTTAAATTATAGCTCAACACTGAGATCAACCTAGGACAAGACAGGACTGCAGCATCTCTGCATGGAAACCAAATGAACTAACCTGTCAGTGCTGAAATGTTTAGTCAAGTCATCAATTAGCTGACTGGCAGAAAATTAATGGATAATGAACAGTTTGGATAAATGATTCATCATCTAATCCATTTACCACGCAAAGAAAGCCAAATGTTTGATTGTTGCAACTTCTCACATTTGAGGTTATGTTGTTTTCCCTCTATTTTGTATCATTGTAGACTGAATATCTTTGAGTTTTAGAGCTTCGGTGAGACAAAACAACCAATTTAAGGAAGTTTCTTTGGGCTCTGGGAATCAGTGACGATTTAACCATTTACGGTCTAAACAATTACTTAAACATACAATCAATACAATATTCTATCATGAAAATAAATAGCATTTTCAGACCTACATGCAGCACAAATTAATAAGCCATACTGCGTCACCAACCTTTTCACTTTTAGTTCTATAAATACAGCGTTTTAGCTTAAGATTGAATAGTCAAAGACAGCACCGCTAAACTTCAGCTCACTGGTGATGTGGAGTGGAAGGTAAATCTCGGTTTACCTTTTATGAAATGTAGTCAGTATGACACGAATGAACACCCTACGGCTCAGTAAAAAGTATTATTTTTGTCTGGTGGTTGGTTAACTCTTGATGAATGCCCGACTGGTGGTCAGTTAACCAGCCACCTAAGTTAGCCTACCTGCTGATAGGCCTTCTACATAACACTTAAGAATGATAATGTACGTTATTTTACAGCTCTGTCGGATCTATTTTCAGGCGTTTTCCGCCTTAAATCATTACCACAGCAGTCGATTTGAAGTAGCTAACCTTAAAGAGGTAGTCAACGGCTCGCGACAACGTTCTAATAACAACTGTTTTCATGAACAACCGTTGCATTTTCGGACTCGAGCTACATAACAACTCATTTAACCCACACCAAAGGCACAACTAAACCTTTGACAATAGGCCTACACTCAAAGGGACAAACACTGGGGTCCTATAAATGTCTCCCCCCCACCACCATCTGCAGCCGCAGCCTGCCAGTCTCCTTTCCCCCACCTTCCCGACTTATATGCAACACAGCGAGCCTCTCGGATGCCAAAGCAATGCGTCGCCCAGAACAATATGGAAAGTTACTCACGTCTCCAGTCATTTTAATGCCATACCGGTCACAACTCTCAGTTTTCCAGTAAAAAAAAAAACACCATATCACTCACCTCCTCTCTAGTGTGTTCACGTCCTCCTCTCTGCGTTTATGTCTTTTCTCTCCGCCCCTCCGTTTACTCTCTCAGCTTCTTTCCTTTCTCCACCCTCCCAGATGCCGCTGATCTCCGACAGGGGGGATCCGGGGGAGGCTGCTCCGGAAGCAAACGCACCTCAATTTTTTTTTTTTTTACCCTCGTCATTGCTTGGGGTACTAATTAATGCTACAGACAAAAATGTCGATAGGAAAACAAGGTTAGTTATACTGAAGGACATTTGTAAACTTCAAAGGTTTCTATGTTTTTGGACGTTTTTCCCAACAAAAGCATAGGGCAATAAACAATACTTAACCCTAATAATATGCATATACAATCAATAGTGCTGTCTCCTGATATCCCAGATCAAAGTGATACAGTATACTATTGTAGGTAGGCCTATGTTTGAAAAATATAGTTGGATTTATGCTTAATAACTATTAGGGTTGCAGCTAATGATTGTGTTCACTATTGGCCTAATCTGCTGCTGATTTTTTTGACGAATTCATTAATTTAGTCTCCGATACATCACTAAATTTTGATAAATGCCCATCCCAACTTCAGAGCTACTGTACATTGTGTGTGCTGTACCGTTTGTTTGCACAGGGGAGAACAGTCTAATAAAATGATGACACCTGGTGGTTACAATCATTTATTGCATAGTTAGTTACAGCTGTGTGGTCATACCAACAGTCAATGGGTCATAATTTGTCAGAAGAAATGTTCCACAGTGAGTCATTTTTACTTTGTGTATTCTCCCAGGAACTTTTTCTCTCATTTATCACAAATGTGGAATGTGATATTTGTCCTCCATCACTTATGTTGGAGTCCTTCACAAAAGGATCTTTATAACGAAACGGTAGGAGTGATTGCAGCTAATGAAACATTTTTCATGTGGGCATTTGAATATAGTCAGGTCAAGTTATGTCATATTTTATTTGTACAGCCCATTATCATACAGAAAATGGAAGAACCCTCACAAAGAGCAACACAGGATCCCTCTAGCATAAATAGACATGCAATATATGTCTATTAGTTTACCTATTTTTTAGGTACTCTGTTTTATTCCTATTTATGTCATTTCACAATGAGCATTCCTTTGTCTGTCTGCATTGTTTACTGCCTGTTTATACTGCTTATGTTGCATTGTTTGCACTGTTGGTTGCTGTTAATACTGCTTATTTTGTAATACTAGCCTTATGTTGGTTTACTGTTTACTTGCCCCTTGCATGGGGATATGTACATACACATTGAGAGCCGATGTACCAGAGTCAAATTCCTTGTGTCTGACGCACCTGGCCAATAAAGCTGATTCTGATTCTAATAGATACATTAAAACTATTGTTTAAAGACATTGATAACTACCAAATACCACTTAATTTTTAGAAAATTATTAAGAGTTTCTCTAGGAAATTATGAGCTAAAAGAGGAAGTTGTCATTTTAAATTAAATCAAACTGTAATTACTCCAATCCGCCAGGTGGCGCTGTGTTGTTATCATCACCGAGTGTTGACCAATCATCAGTGTTCAACAACAGTTTGAACACGAGCGGGTCCAGTGGCTATTGGAATGAAGGAGACCAAAATAAAGAACTAAAACAACTACAATAATAACAAATAATGTTATCAGTCGTGGTGATGGGTTAAAACGGATAATTTGTTAACGTTAGGTTGAGATTCAGCGCGTTTATCTGGTCATTGTTAACGAGTTGAGAAGATGTTGCTATAACGTTAATTTGTCAGCGCATGAAACAGTTAGCAAAGCTCTACCCCCCAAGTTTGGGTTAAAGTTGTGGTTTTAAAGATGAAATCATTCAAACCGACATATCTGAAGACATACGGTAAACGCCAGCGTAAGCTGTCTGCCTGGATCTCACCTAATAGCCACAAACGGGCTTTCGATAGCACATCCTCAACGGATGGCGACAACTCCGACTTTGAGCCAGTAAAACCCAAGAGGACAAGGTACGTTCAGGCCTATAGGCGATGAGATTTCCCTCACCTTGCTTGTCATTATTTCTATTTATGTCTTATCCTATTATTTATTTTTCAGCTTTGGCTTTTAGTCGACTATTGCATTGTTTGTTTTTCTATGCAGTTTACGGTTAATTTAGCCAAAGGTGTAAAGACACAAACAGTTCCACCCACTGGACGTAGCATAATTTATATTAGAGAAAGTATTAACCTGCTCCTCCAGGCCAAAAGTGTTAAAGCTTTTCCTGACCTACTCGCTCTTACATCTTGATCTGTTTTGTGGTGTCACAGATGGAAGAGTAGTGATGCTAGTAGTAGAGTGTTGCGTCCTGCCAAGAAAAAGGCCATGCGACATCTGACAGAGATTAGCTGTAATAAGGAGAGTATCAGCAATGAGGAGAATGGCATCATCCACTCTCCTCCTCGACCTGCTCAACAGAGCAAGGCAAAGAGGTCTGTAAACAAACATGCACTTTGTTATAAAAAGATTTCTGATGATAATCAATTATAACACAGCAAACCATTATTTAAGCACTTGTAATTTGCATTGCTAATTGGAGTTTTATGATATTTTGTCCATCTCAGGATTGATGAAATAGAGCTTGAGGTTCTTTGTGTCATGTTTAGTTGTTTTTTTTTTCCCTGACCACTTGCTCATACTCAGTATTTTAACCTGCTCATTTGCGGGTTTTAATCTTTGCTTTCTTACTAGAGGGAAGAAAACTAGTGTTAGCAGTGGTAAAGCTGTTCATCCAGCCAAGAGGAAAGCCATTTTCTCTCAGACGGAGAACAGCAGTGATGAGAACATCAGCCGGCCTTCTCCTCACCAACATCAGCCTGCTCAGCAGGGCAAGACAAACAGGTCTGTGCACAAACAAGCCTGAACAGAAAACATTATGAAAACACAAGTATTGGCCAGAATTTTGTAACTTTTATTTAGCTTTTTATGTTACCACAACAGTGTATTTAAGTAGTCACTTGACATTACTGGCAAAATGGATGCAAAATATTGCCTACTTATCGGTTCACTTTTTGTCAGTATTGTACACCCATAGGTTGAGCCTCTCGGGCAGCCATTCCCCTCATGTTTGTGTACAAGCGGGACACAAAAAGTCACACTGTGGCCTTAATTTAAGACTTTTTAAAATGTATTAATTTAGACAACTGAATTGTGTCAAACAATATAATATATTATGATATACTACCACTGAAAATGTAAATGTTGATAGAGGATTATTGCCTGGCCCTAGATGTATAGCTTCAGGATCTGCAATATGTATAGGTTCTTTTTGTACATTTTTATTAAACTGGGCTTTTGAACTTGTAGCTATGTGTTTATCTGGAATCACTCTAGCAGTAGTAATTTTAGAGTGTGTTAATGTACTCAGTCTCAGCTCAGAAAAGTCACAAAAATTCAGTTCACTTGAAGAGAAAACCTGAGTAAGTCTTCAGTCAGTCAGGTTATTAGCTGTTTGTTAATTGTCTGCCAAATGTTTTTAGTACTTGCTGAAACTTTTTGTATACTACTGTCTCTTCCTTGTCTGTTTTTTTTTTTAGTGTTTGTCCACCCTCTGTGGGCCGCTTTGTAACCCGCCGCAGACGCGCTGCCTCTAAACCACTCCCTAAAGCAGTAGTCAGTATACTCAACTCTTCAGATGATTTTACCTCTGGAGCCTTTGGTACCAGCAGGATTCTTCGCCCTAACAGGATTAAGAGAGTCCCTTTATCATTAGTATCGAGTGCTGAGAACTCAGTAAATGCTGTGGGGACTTCTGGCTTTGCCACCAACCTCCTCCGAGAGATATCCCTCAATGAGATGACAGAGCACAGCCTTGGACCCTGTCCCAGGAAACCCGTTTTTTGTTCTACACCCTCAGCAGGCTCCTTCAGCAAACGTCAACGGCTTAAACACTCTCACATCAACGATCAGCCCTTTACGCCGTCATCGGTATCACTAAGCTGTATAAGTGTCTTGAGCTCATTTCAAGAAGATCTGGATTCACGAGTGCATTTCACATCCCCACCAATTTTGGCACAACCCACTGGGCTCCGCTCTGAGGAGAAGACACAGTCGAGCCGTGGTGAGCAAGAACCAGACATGCATCACCACAAAGATGCCTCTGGTGGTTTATTCACGAATCCCCAAAGTGTTAATAAGAGTTTGAGCAATAGTGAGGAAGCCAAAAGCTATAGTGAAGACACAAAGCCCAAGAGTTACGGGAGATTACCAAGTCCAAATCTCCTCTCTACAGACAGTGAAAGCAGCAGTCGTTTTTTGTCAGCAACAGAAGCTTTAGAGTGGCTGATGGAGGCTCTGAAGGACAAATGTTTGACTGAGCCCTGCACAGTGCAGCTGGACAGATTAGACAACCTCACTGTGAGTCAGCTTTGCCATCAAACAACCTACTCATCCTGTTTAGGATCTCTGTGTGGCGGTCGACCTTTTGAACTTTTACAGTCTTCAGAAGCATCATTTAATCTTCATTTATCTGTGACAAACAATAACAGCAGTCATTATTTACAGTCACTAAATAGTTTGCATTCTCCTGAACAGGCAGCTTCAGTGACTGACAGTCAGAGCTCTAACAATTCACCTTCAGTTGGCTATAAGCAGTCAGCTGAACACTCCCGTGCAAGGGAATTCACGGAGCAGTCAGTAGCAGTATTTTCTGATGAATCTACCCACCACACAGAAAGCAGTGTTCAACAGTTCATGGGGACACAATTACCAGCCAAAAGTGCTTCACAAGCTATATTTACTAAAGAGTCTGTAGCACTAAAGGACAAATGTCTTGCTGAGAAATGCACCATTCAGCTCAAAAAACTGTCTTTGCCACAGGTGACTGTTCGGCAACATAAAGGGCTCACACAGCAGAGAGGGGCATGTTTGAATTGTGATGATACATCTGTTAATCCAAATGCAAACAACCCAGAAGATCTCACACATTCAGGAGAGATCACTGGGAGAATGATGGCATCTGTTAGACAGTCACTGTACAAAACCAGTGCAGTAGCCCAGGCACAGGCTAGTGACCCAGAAACAAAAGAAAAGGCAGCAGTGCTGAAGGAGAAGTGTCTAGCTGACAAATGCGCTGTTGAGATAAAGAGAGTGAATTTATTACAGGTGAAAGAAGTTCTGAAGCTCAAAAACACAAAGCTTAAATCTGCCTCAGTCGTGTCTGACTCGGCCAGTGATGACCAGAGAAACGATAACCACCGGTCTGAGAGTGACACTACCACCGGTCTGAGAGTGACACTAAGGATGCTTCTGTGAAAAAGAAGAGCTCCGCTAGTTCCAAGAACAACGTTGCCTCAGACAAAGCAGTTGTAAAAAATTCCTTTGACATTCTCCCCAAAACAAAAAAGATGTCTCTGGCTCCTAAAGAAAAGAAAAGGAGGAACACATCTGCAGACCAACCTGGGATGACCAGGAAGGCATGTGTGAGCGGTCTGAGCGTGAGTCGCTGGAAGAACAAAGGCAGCACCAGCGCACGCATGTTCACGGGTAGGACTGCGCGGACAGGTGACAGCAAGGCTGTGGACTGGAGCATCAATGAGCTGGTCTCAACACACCGCAAACAGCCAAAGGTGAGACCAGTATGCACACAAATGCTGCACAATATTGTTGGCACACTGACAGGTACATTCATTGACACTGATTATAGTTTAGCCAGTGTCAGACAAAATAAAAAAAATGTGAAGACTGAAATTTCTATCAGAACTGGCGATGAACCAAATGTTTCATTAGTCTGATGAAAGAAAAATGAACTGGAAAGAATAATTATCAGCTGCTGCCCTTTAAACCAGATGCTGTGCACCTGCTATAATTAACCAGCAGGCTTATTTCCCTGGTGCCTTGCCTACAGCACCATGGGGTAAATCCCAGTACCTTGCATCCACAGGCCAGTGTCTTTTAATACCTAATATAAAAGTTCATCAGCAGGATTCCTGTCCCTGTCGAAGATCAAGAGATTTTCAGTAGTTTAATTTTTAATATATTCATGGTAAATCATTGTTAAAAATGAATCACTTAAATGGGAAGGTTTGTTCCTGTGGCTTCTGTTAGGGTGATTTTCATTATTAGATAGAAATGCATATAATTAGTTAGGGTTTTTATTATATAGCATACATAAGTCTATATACTTTAATCTCACAGTAGTGTTTATGTTTATGTAGTTACATATCTACATCACCCTATGTGTTCACTGAATCACTGGTCAGTATTTACTGTGTTAGCCAACTGGAGCACTGTTTAACATCAAGGGGGACTGGTTCACTAAAACACTGAATCTCATTAGATTTACAGCTTTGGCAAAGAGGGTCCACAGTTAATTTATCATCACCACCTGGCTAATGGGCCGGGGGAGCTATAGTTTATTGCATCCTAGGACAGTGAAACAGAGATTAGATCTGAAACTAGGAAGAGGAGAAAACGTCAAAGGTAGAACCATTACACACACACACACACACAACCATTGGAGCAGAGAGGATGGTTGGAGGACGGACGGACTGAAGGACCAATATCGGGAGAGTTAAGTTTAAACCACGACTTCTCCCCAACAGTTTTGGACCAATCAGATAGTAACATCTTACCATACAACTATTGTATACCGGCAAGTTGAGGCCAGTCTTTTCTGTTTTATCCTAAACAGGGAAGATCAATGTGCACATGCTTATTTTGATGCGTTAATGCATAATAAATTTCACAAATTTCATATTAGTCTTTTCTTTTCAATATAAAAGAACACACCTCACACTTCCTTCAGGGCCGAGACCCAAGCAAGTGCTGCTGGTCCCCTAAAACAACCAGTGTGATACCTGCTCAACAACAACAACAGATCATAATTGAGAATTTTTTAGTTTTATATTACCTATTTTATTTATTTAAAATTGATCAAAGAATTTAGTTGTCCATTGTGTAACACTTGAGGCTTTTGACTGGTCATAATTAAGATTTTAGTTTATGATATATACCTATGTTATTTATTTGAAATTCAATTGTATAATGTTCTACAGTACATTTCTCATTCAATTTCTGTCAGAAAATAAATAATAATTAATCCAAAATTAACCTTATAATATCTTCACATCTCACTTAGGAGAACCTGATATATTTTTCTATCACCCAGCCCTGTGTGTCATATACTGTATGTTCACATAAGGATGCTTTGAGAGTCTGGTATAGTTCTAGTAAAGGTTTTGTTCACTCAGATGAATAACTAACTAAAGTAAATAATTAAAAATAATATTTATAACTTTCATATTCATCTTCTGTGATTTCCACCTGTTGTTTGCCCAAAGTTCAGTAATTTTGGTGAAAGGAATTTAGCTTTTCATCTTCAAAGAACAACCAATTCAGCCAGGACACCTTCTAGATAAAGGGGTTACCGGTTACTCCACAGACCAAAGAAGGTTTTCCTGAATAAAAACAACCTAACCCTTGAACATAAAGTGTTTGGGTGTTAGGTTTTTCAGAATTTTTTTTTTTTTTATGTTAAATGTTAGCAGCGGTTAGTGACAACAGATGGAGCTGTGGAATTGTTGACACACTGTTCTACCATCCTTTGTGCAGGAGCGTGGAGCAACCAAGGAACTCTCCACCCCAGTGAAAGCGAGTCAGCTCAACCTCTCCTCTCTGTTGGCTGACTTCACACCAAACACACACACCTGGAGCCGACTTAAAGCTGCCCTCTCTGTTCATCGCAAAGGCATAGGTAATAGACTTGTTCAGGTGTGTTGATATTTTTCCAGATTAATTTAAAGCTGTGTCCTTAAGTTTGATCTTTGATCTTTCCTTGTCTCTTTTCCCTCCTCCCCTCTCATTAGTGCTGCACACTCCACGAGCTCTGTCAATGTCAGGCTCTCTGAGCAGGGAAGATCTAGCAGACATCAGCCAGGATCTCTTTGCCACACCTGTGCGCACATCGCTCCCCAAACACCTCCAGTCACAGCTGCTGGGCTCTGTTTCTCTGGTACAACACAGTACACATCCGAGATGCATGCTCAGATGAGTGCAGTTGTAGTGTAGTGCTATTGAATTGTATTGTGTTATACTGACAGGTAGGGGTGCACCGAAATTTCGGCCACCGAAAATTTTCGGCCGAAAAGGCCATTTTTATTTCGGGCCGGAATAAAAAAAAAAAACGCCGAAGATGCCCCGCCCCGCACATCATATCCTGGCGCAGCACAGGTTAGGTTTCACTCACGCTGGAGCTGTTGTATCACGCGTCTCCCCATGAACGACAAAGCATGTCAGCGGTGAGAGACTCTTCAGTGCAGCATCTCATGTGCTTAATGAGAAGAGGAACCGTCTCTCCAGCCAAAAAGCGGAGCAACTTTTGTTCCTAAAGAAAAACCTGCCACGTTTGTTGAACTAAACAGCAGTCCAATTTTGCATAGTGCATAGTTGCATTAAAATTTGTGTAGCACTGCTAGCTACCTAGGCTATGTTGTTTACAGTTTGTTTGGAAGTTCTATTGCTGTTTTTGCGCCGTTTTGCATTGTTTTGCACAGCAATTTAAAATGTTTGAGTGTTATATACATATACATATACACACACACACACTTATAGAGTAAGCGTGTTTTAAAAATTAGAAGTTTTTAAACGAAGCCATTTTCGGTTTTCGGCCAAATGCATCCTAAATTTTCGGTTTCGGCCCAGAATGTTCATTTCGGTGCATCACTACTGACAGGTGTTTCGGATTTTACCACTCCATTTATTTTAATAGAAATAAATAACACTAACACCTGTCTGGATAATGCGATACTACAGTGTCAAATGATCATACACTTGGATCAACAACTCATGAAACAGTTTTAAAAAAACCTGAACATTAGTACCTTAATGAAGGACACGTCACTCTGGCCAATGAAATGTCATCAGCCTGCATTTGTAGTACAAGGTACTACACACCAGCTGCCAGCTGGTTTGCCATCTAGTGACAAATCATCAACAAGCTACACGTTAACCCAGCTAATGATTTTCCATATAGTTACATATTTGGCCTTACACCTTGTGTGCACTGGTGGTGTAGAGAGGGCGGCACAGCAGCTGCCAGCAAGCCATGTCTGCTCTGGATCAGTACAGCCATAATGCTGCTGTTCAGTCAGATCTCTTCTGGCGGTGCTCACAGTCCAATACACAGTCAGGTATTTATGCATATGAGTGGGGAGAAAAAGACTTGAAGCCTCAAAAGAAACTTTGCTTTACATGTGTACACTTATGTGTGTTAAACCACCAGTGAAGAAGAAGCTGTTGTAGAGAGGTTAAACACCCGCTGAAAGCTGTGACTGAAATAATTTGCAAGTTGTTACCACTTACTTTCTTCAATCTGTATGAATGAGCTATGCAAACACTAAAGAAGTCCCATCTGGGGACCTGTTGTCCTTCCTGTATTCCTTTACAGGCCGTGTACAAGGATGCAGACCTGTCAGATGCAGAGAAAGTGTATGCCGAGTGTGGCCAGCAGCATCCTCTGCCCTGGGAGGAGTGTATTCTCCCTCAGCAGATGAAACGGTGTGTTAAGATAGGAGAGGGGAGTTTCGGTGAGGTCTTCTCCACCACCAACACCTCAGGAGACACTGTTGCTTTCAAAGTACGTGTGTTTCTGTATATATAATAGGATCAACTACACTGCGTCATAACTGCAGTGGGTTTATCTTAAGTGGACTGTGTGTACAGCCCGTTTAACCCACTTGTGATAGGACATTACAAAATCAAGGTTTGCTTTTTCCAGACTGTATTCCATGGTCTTCTTCAGTGATTGAAACTTGTCCAGGTGTCACTGCATCAGTTAAGTATGGACAATAAGTGCCTGTGGTTAAAAGTATGCAGTGAAGCATTTAATTTGCTGAAGAGATGCTGTCGAAAACTCTGGGAAACAAAAGCCAGTAAATAGTACAGTTAAGTGTAAAATATTTGATCACATATTTGTGTTTCCTAGGTCAAGAGGAAATGTATATATTGAGGAATTTTGTGTTAAATTGAAAATGGCACAGGAGCAATCACTGATATAAAAAAAAAACTGAACATTATAACCTTGTACCCTGCCTTCGCCCGATTGTCGGCCGGGATTGGCTCCGGCCCCACCCGTGACCCCGCTCAGGGATTAAGCGGTAGAAAATGAATGAATGAATAACCTTGAAGTGAGGATTTATCACAGAGCCCATGTTAGACTGCAGTAGTTTTACCTAAGTGTACCTAATAAACTGAAAGGCCAAGTGAGGTGGGGGGTGTAACTGTTCTGCTTGAGCCTCTGTTCTTGTTTTGTTTTCTCATGGTAGGCAAAGCTGCAATAAAGAAGGACCACCTTAACGCCATTATAAGAAGATCTCTGTAAGAAACTACTGTCTGTATTTTACATTGTGCACTAAAACTGTGGTTCTTGACTTCACAGATCATTCCAGTAGAGGGCAGTGAGAAGGTGAACGGAGAGGACCAGAAGACTTTTGGAGAGATTCTTCATGAGATTATTATCTCAAAGTAAGTAGTGCATTAAAGACGTTGTGTCAGCAAAGGTGTAATCCCATTCACAAAGTCTAAATGTTAGTAATACCTGTGTCTGTGCTAACTAAACAGCATTGTGTGTGTGTGTGTGTGTTTTCTGTACTAGAGAGCTGAGCAGCCTGAAGGAGAAGTCACAGAACCAGACTCATGGCTTTATTGGACTCGATGAGTAAGCACTGTCTCTGCTCCTTTGTTTTGTCTGTTAGTCTCATTAGTTTTGAGTATTAATGTGACTATGTGTCCATTTTCCCTGCAGTCTTCACTGTGTTCAGGGCTGCTACCCCCCAGATTTCCTGAAAGCCTGGGACAGATTTGACCGTCAGAAAGTCTCTGAGAATGACAGACCAGGTCACTGAGACAAAAGAAGATGAATCCTCATTAGTCTAACTTAATGAACATTATCCAGAGCAATACTCAATAAGACCAGGTTACTTGTTTGTCTGTTTCCCTGGAGCTCTCGTTTTCCTTCTTTGCACAGATTTCTTTGAAAAGGATCAAATATTCATAATCCTGGAGTTTGAGTTTGGAGGCACCGATTTGGAGAACAGCAATGGAACGGTAGGCACAGCACATCAAAATGACGGTTGCTTAATACCTCCCCTGTGTGCCGTGCAGTGTTTTACTATGATGTCGAGCATTCATCAGTCATGTCAGTGGCTCCTGCTGTAGCCAGAATTTCAAGTACTGGAGCCTTACTCTACATTCTGCTGTCATGACACTGGCTTTAGCTCATTACACCCGAACACTAGCTGTGAAAATGTGCCCAAACATTAACGCAGAGCCTTCATGCATGAAAACACTAGTCTTTAATTGAATCATTATATCTTAATGTCATTTAGACCTTAAAAATGTATGCTGGAGGTAATGCAGAAAGAAGATGCTAAGCTTCTGAAAGAAACATTTGGCTTTGCAGTGTATATACTGGAAAAATCAGGATCTGCTCTTTTCTTTGTGCTCCAAAGAATAACATATACATTGTTTGTTGAATAGAAGTATAAGTCTTTAATTCAACCCTGTCTTTTGACATCAAGCTGGCGTCTCTGGGGGTGGCAAAGAGCATCCTTCATCAGGTGACTGCTGCCTTGGCTGTTGCTGAGCAGGAGCTACACTTTGAGCACAGGTAGAGGGCAAACATACAAGAACAGCAGCCAGTGACCATGTGCGTGCAGCAGGCCTTGTATGTGACAAGCAGGACAAGGCAGCACTTAAAGGCATCCTGTGGATTTTTTTGCAAGAAGAAGTTATGATTACACAACGCATTGTCTTGAGCTCTAAAAAACATCAAGTGCATTTCGTTCCTCATTTAGCTCCATTAGATTCAAGCTCGTACACACCATCTCTTGAATTCAGTGTTTTTAGTGGATCCAGGAAGCTGATATGAATCAAGGCATACAGTTTCTCAGATATTCAGACTTCTTCACACTGCACACCTTTTGTAATTGTTGTACTGAAAGGTGAACTGTTTGAAATAGAAATGTTAGTTTTTTTA